TTTCCAAGTCTCAAAAGAAAAGTCTTTTCAAATGCTTTTAAAGCTTACAAAAAGCTTCTTTAGAAATTAAACAGAAGCATATTTGAACAAAGGAATTCATAAAAATGTTCTAATCCCATGTCTCTCTAATTCATGAAATGTCCAAGATTGCTTCCAACATCAGACTGTGTCTCAGTTTCCAGTGGTAATTCAACACTGTCCCTACTAATAAAATTTTAGTTACAGGGATTCTCTCACTAAGATAACTTTATGGCCAAAATATTCTGGCACAAAAATCACTGAGGCAGAGTGTATTACGAAGGAAAGGCTTGGAACAGCTGTTGTGTTAGGAAGCAATTTATATTAATAAAGAACCACTTCACATACACATAGGTACATTAAGCTTCTGTATTTAGTCTAGAGCCTAAACAGCAATCTGTTCCCTATGCAGTTTTGCACCATTCTTAGAAAGTCGGCAACTGTAAATAAAAGCAAGACTGAAGACATATTCAGAAGCCCATATTTCCAAACAAACCAAAGTGGCTAAGACAGCACACAAAAGACATTCAGATAACTATAGTGATGGGATAAACGAAGACAAAGATGCATTGTCTCATTCTTAAAAAGTGACATTTCTTGTAATGGAGACCTTTGGAAAATTCTGCAGCAGGGAAGGATTTTGTTGTAATATACATTCTTTCCTTGAAGAAAGACCTCCTCGAATTTATATAATTGTCTACAACATGCTTGTAATTTTCACTGAACAGATGAGAGTGCAGGAAAAAAGAAAAAAAGTTTTTTTCTGCAAGCATGGGTTGGATGGGGAAGGGAACACACCAAACAGGAGACAAGCTCACAAAAAATAACTTATCTTCTGATCTATGAATCCATGTTTAACTTGAAATATAATAATAATAATAATTTAAAAAAGAGTACAGTAAAACACAGACTAGCAATTCCGGAGTGGTACTTACAGCCTGTAGGAACCGAAAAGACAATAGGACACCATTAATACCCCCATATGAGTGTACATCTTCATAATCCCCCTCCTCCAGCAGGTACTGACGGCCTTTGTATTGTTCCTTTTCATAGGCAACCCATCTATAGTAAAAAGGGAACAATTATATGAAAAAATATAACACGTATCATAACACGTATCATAACAAGAATAAAAGGGGAAAACATCACCACAAATTCCTAAATATTAACACCTCAGTTGAGCAATACTTGTTATTTGAGATTACAACACAAACTGACCAAGCATTCTTTGTGGGTCAATATTTCACTTTATTGTGTGATCTCCAACAACAGTTTCCTTGTGTAACGGTTACAGGTGCAGCAACACTTTTGAGAAATGTTTCTATCAGTGCATTTCAACACATTTTCGTAAATATAATGGCTAGAACCTGCAGAGTTATACAGAGAATCACTGGTGGCCAAACCAGCATCCAATTCTGGGATCGTTGACACTCAGGGTGAAATCTTGGCCCTGTTGTAATCAGTGGCAAAGCTCCCACTGACTTCTGTGGAGTCAATGTCCTCTGCTCTAACAATTAAATCCAATCAAATAGGACATGCATAAGAATAATGTATATGCAAAATACTTTTGTACTGCAAAAGAGGGGAATCATACCATTTTAAGGTATCCTGATTAAAAAGTAAATTTCTGCCTCAATTTTGAGCGCTCTCAAACTTTACTTTGTGCACAATAGTACAAAAAGCTTTATAAGACTTCCAAATATTGTTCTACAAAGTGACATGGAATTAAAAGTTCCTATTCAAATTAGATTAATCAAATTTATGTGATATTTTAAAAGTGAGAAAGTACAATCAAATACTGTCAGTTAAGCTTCACTATTCAAGACAGAATTTACAATATGCACATTATAGCAACACCAACTCATTCCAGAATGTCAAAGGGTCTGAGTATTTCCTTCACAAAAACTTTCCTGCCAACGATTTAAAACTGCTATACAAATTTTGTCAGGGAGACAAGAATGGATTTATTTTTTATAACATCTGATTTGGAATAGTTCAGCTGTTTATGTTGTTGTAAAAAAATCCCCCACAAACTATAGAGGATAACTTTTAAAATGTGAAGTTTTCCAGAGAGCTGGTACATAGCGTTTTTGAGTAGTGTCTAAGTATTGGCATTTAAATTTTCTAGGAATATAGCACTTGTGAACCCTGCAAAAATGAAATAATAGCTATACAGGGTGCATACCACCATAGTCATTTTACTGGGGAGTTAATGGGGAGAAATCTGAAGGACAAATTAAATGTCATTGTTAATTATTTTACTGCTGAGCTCTGAAATAGAAACCTTAATTTTATTGGCTTTTCATGCATTGTTCAAGTGGCAGACCCTGATGATGCTGAAGGTACAGCAGGTTGACTAGTTATACAGAGCTGCTGGAATATGCATTAAGGGTCTGATTCACTCAGGACTGTTCTACGGTACAGAGTTAGGTTGGCATACTTCTGGCTCAGTGCTATGATAAGTTTCATGTCCAATTTTATATATTTAAGCCAACCTAAATGCAGACACTACTAGGTTGACAGAAGAATTCTATGAACTAAGCTATCACCAGTCAGAAAAATGACTATTATAGTGATTGGAAAACCCTTCTTCACCATACCAAGTATCAACTCTCCAATACTGCAGCTGTGCCACAGGAGTGTTTCCAGTGTAGACAAACCTTCAGTTTCCAGGTATTAGATAATCATTTATATAGCATGGAACATGAGGCTAAAATGCTACCAAAATCGGCATGGTAGCTTTTTAGTACCAGTTTGCACAACTATAAATGACTATATATTGGGCAGAACCATGAAGAGTCAATTGACAGTACATCTTCACTAGGAAAAGAAAAGTGTGTTAACTCATTTTAGTGAATGCACGATAACAGATGAATGGTAAAATTCTATTGAAGACAAGGTACTTGACAGCTTTTATATGCATTAGTAGAGCAAACAGATGAGGGTTTACTTCAGTCTATTAACTCGTGTAAAAACTACCAACTTCTTTGTCTGTATTAGGATTTTACTTCATGTCAGTTACCACATTATAACTAACACAAGTTGAAAATATACCCTTTTTTCCCCTAGTGAAAACAAGGCCTAAGATTTTTTTTTAAGTAAATACATTTCTTCCCCTGCCCACAAAAGATATTTAGCTTACTTTAACTGATTGCCATTTGTTTTGTTGTTTAAACACATTTGCATATGTTAGTAGATATGCCACAAATGTTTTTTCCAAGATACAAATCTTTGTAGTTGCAGTTTATGCTAAAACTGTTTTTGGAAACCTGAATTGTAACTTGATAACTCATAAAGATCATAATTTGTCATTTACCTTTTTATAGAGAACACTAAATACAAAAATGAAATATACTCACACTCCACCAATGACACGTATTGATCCAATTCCCTCGAAAGCCTCATTACTTCTAAAGAGTGTTGGGACAGCATCGATGTTTTCAGAAACCTCTTTGGCCCATCCTCCAAAGTATTTTCTCTCATATATTACTATCTGGAGACAGTAATTTGAAACAATGTATTTAGGACCTCAATTTTTAGGTATCTTAAATCTGATGCATGTAGTTCTGCATTGTCCAGGAACGCAAATCTTTTCTCAGCAACCACCATAATGAAAATTCTGTGCTGTGCCTTCTGAACCTTCCTGATTGCCAGTTGCTCTGGAGTTTGAAGCAGCTCTGGTACGATTTTGGACAGTCTTAGCAGGCTAAGGGCTTGTCTACACAAGAAAATTTACCAATATAAACAAACCACTAACCGTGTGGACACCTGTACCTGAACCAAAGTGGCCACATACACAGTTACATCAGTATAACTAAAACAGTACAGCTATAGTGATAAAACTTGTTGAATAACCCTAGTTAAAGGCAAATTCCCAGGCCATCTAGAATCTCTGCAATGCTACCCCACTCACATGCTGCCTATTCCAAGGCTTGCATGAGTGTTATCAGAGTGCATTCTTATGTTTGTATTCCTCAAATCCTGTGCTGCAGGACTTCAGAATTGGATCTGGGGCTCTTAGGGCTCTTTTATGCTGCTCCAGCCCTTTTCATTCAGCTTAAAGAAGCAAGCACCATAGGCAACGAGTTATATGGGCCCATGGTATCTGTGCTCCACCAATATTCCAGAGTGTGGGCCTGGCTCCACCAACATTTGGTCTTAAATTTTTAGAACTGTCCATTCATAGGACAGACCAGTGCAACCACTATGGACTCTGTGCTTCAGGGGGACTTACTGAGTTAGTGAGGGGAGGCCTGGAGATCGGGGACCATATTTCCCTATGCCAAAGGAGAGGGGAGGCTGCTGGCACTTGGGGATTCGGAGGGGGGAGGGAAGAGGAGGTGAGCCACCAATGCTCAGGGCTTCAGCCCCACAGTGAAGTTCAGTGCAGGGAAGGTGAGGTGCCCACACTCAAGTCTTCAGCGAGGAAGGGGAACTGCTGGTGCTTGGAGCTTTGGTGGCTGAAACCCTGAGTGCTGGCGGCTCCTTTCCTCCTCCCACTGCAGGGGAAATACAGGATAATGTATTCTTCGCTTGGGGGGAGGGGGGGAGAACATCAGAATTTGTTGGCATCTGAACAGCTGCCTGGATGCAGGAAAATTCCAGGGATTCCTTTACCTCTTGTTCTGCACAGTTCCTCATTCAAGACCCTTCACCATTGTCATAGGTATCATGTACTAGAGTAACTCTATTCATGCAATTGGCCAAGCTATAGATTTGTGTTTTTAAACAAGTTAATGGGGGCCATATATGTTTCTCTGGGAAAAGAGGGAGGGTGCGGAGAGGGGAGGAAATGTATTTCCTTTCTCTTATTTTCTGAATATGGTGAAGTAGACATTTGACCTACAGGGGTCCTTTGTTCAATGATGCCTGTGGAAGTGTCAGCCAAGAGAAACTCACTTCACACTGTAGTTCTTTTAAAATTCTCCTCCAGACAGACATTCAGTTACCTTGGAAAAAATCTTGCCACTGCTCTTATGTCTCATAAAGCACGTGTGACTCCTGGGCTTAGGAAGTAGGCGGAGGCAGAATGTCTAATCTAATATTACACAGACAATAGAGAAGGTTTTTTTCCTTGCTAAGAAAAGGAAGTAGTCTTAAATCAGGGTCCCTGTGACAGAATCTTTTACTGGCAGCATTTGCAGTGCTTACCTTAACATTCATAGGCATTTGTACCTTTAGTCCACCCTAAAATATAACACATACATAATTACATAATATCTGAAATTATATATCCATAAGTATACATTTAATAGTCTTAGAGAAGTATCCAGTTCTTGCAGCTATACTAGAGGCTTCCAGTTTGTGTTAAATCTAATTAAGATTTAAATACACATATAATTCACAAAACCAAGGAAAGCCAACAAAGCTGATCTACAAACACAGAATATTTTATGAGCCTGTGAATCAAATAATTAAAATACCTTATACACGTTTGCCTTTACTTGCACTATGGAGCCAAATATTTACTAGAGGTTGGACCCCACGGGTCCGGCACCCTCAGGACCTGAGTGGTCCCAGATGAGGGAATTGCCAGACCAGGAAGGTCCCCTGCCACTGGTCCCCTCAGCCTGCTGTCCCTCCCCGCAACCTTATAAAGATCAGTTTCTTAAAAAAAACAAAAAAGTAACCTTTAACACTATCACATATTACAACTTTTTTAAAGAAGCAGGGACCATATACCAAAAATTTATTATCAAAACATTTCACCAGAACAGGCTGATGAGTAAATTCCCAGGAATGAGAACAATGTAAGCCATCTATGAAGAGAGGGAGAATATGGCATAAGAATAACAATGTTCCAACACTGGAAAAAGTAATCAGGCAATGTAGTAATCCTTCAAAATACTTGGAGAACGGGAGAGATTTTGAAAGGCACAAATAGAAGGTAGGTGCACTTCTCACACTATCAGTGGAAGCTAGGCATGTAACTGCCCCTTATAGTTTTGAAAATCTCCCTCTGGAACCTTTATGTATATATTAAAGCTATGTGCCATTGTACCCATATCCATCCCTTTCCATGTATATATCCACAAGCTATACATCAAAGGACTATTAGGCTGCCTGTGTTTCAAAATTGCTTTGCAGTGCAGAGTCACAAGAAGACTACCAGGAGGTCTGTAGCAGTTATTTCTTCTTCTGATTTGGCACCTGCAGCAGATTCTAGCTGTACCAGTATGCAAAGGTTTTCTGAAGAATCTTTTATAATCAGTTATTTTTGGTTCCAACAAAAACTGCACAACTCTAAAGGCACAACTTTTGGTCTTATCTAAAGAGTCTGTTAATGTATATCCTCTTGACACAAGTTGTTGGATTTTTTAAGATGTCCTCCTACATTAAATCAGGCGTTCCTTTCTTACTTGAACATTCACATAGTTCTGGGGGTTTGCATTGAAAAGAAAAAAGGAAGAATATTATCTCTACAGAAATTTGCTGTCATCGTCTGCACTCTCGAGTTATTGCAGCTCACCAGAACATCCAAACTGCAGATGGGCCAAAACCCCCAAAACCGAATCCAAACTTTGTATCTATAAATAGGCCACACTTAGGCTACGTCTACACTGGCCCCTTTGTAGGGAAATGCGTGGGGGATTTAAATATCCCCCGCGGCATTTAAATAAAAATGTCCGCCGCTTTTTTCCGGCTTTTAAAAAAGCCGGAAAAGAGCGTCTACACTGGCCCCGATCCTCCGGAAAAAGCGCCCTTTTCCGGAGGCTCTTATTCCTACTTTGAAGTAGGAATAAGACCCTCCGGAAAAGGGCACTTTTTCCGGAGGATCGGGGCCAGTGTAGACGCTCTTTTCCGGCTTTTTTAAAAGCCGGAAAAAAGCGGCGGACATTTTTATTTAAATGCCGCGGGGGATATTTAAATCCCCCGCGCATTTCCCTACTACGACTCATGAAATTTACATGCCCCTTCCGGAAAAGGGGCCAGTGTAGACGAGCCCCTTCAGTCTACATCCAAAAACTCCTAAACACAGGGAATGTGAAATCCCAATTTTAACTCAAATCTTGTAATGTTCTGATTTGACTCACATGAGAGAGGTATGAGTTGCAAACGTGCACCTCTCTCATCCCAGTGCAAAGTAGTACATCTAACCAGGCTTATTTGGGAGCTCCAAGGTTATGCCTACATAGCAGTGTTATTCCTAAATAATGTAGTGCATGTCTACACAGAAAGCCTGCTATTTCAAAATAAATTCAAAACAACAGGCTTCTTACTCTGACTTCTGTAAACCTCATTGTATGAGTAGTAAGGGAAGTCGGGGGAAGAGTGCTCTATTTAGAAATAACTGCTGCGTCGACAGCACCAAAACTTGAAATAAGTTATTTCAATTTAACATAGGCAATTAGCGTGGCTCAAGTTGCGTAGCTTATTTCGCATTTCGCGCTGCTGCATAGACTTGCCCCAAATGTGCAGATGTGGGATCGTAGCAACTTTTAAGATGAATGGCAAACACTTAATACTTTATGGCATGACGTGTATGTTACACAGGCAAAAATCTCTAAAAAATTGTAAAGAACATATTCAACTCAAAGTTATCTTTAGATCAAATCATTAAAAAGGATGCAACATTCAGAATATTACAACTTTCTCACCATTTTTAGGGGACGCAGAGATCTCACATCTGCTGCAGAAATTTCAGATGGGGAGCTGCCCTCCTCCAGAACTATCATTTCTCCTTTGTAATTAAGATCTGAATAGGCAAGCCATCTATAGTAATGAGGAGAAAAAAATGATTTGTTTAATTCAATTCAATATGTTAAGAGCATACATTCTTTTCTTGATTATATTAATCAGGGCTACATTATATGCATCATATAGAAATATTAAAATTTTGAATGTATTGCTACAACCTTAGAAAGTTCATTTAAGATTTCTTCAAGATCTAACCCAAAATTAGTAAGACTAGAAAACATTGTGCACTTGTCATAAAAGGCCATCTTCTTATACTTGAATAAGCAAAACAAAGATTACTATTGATGACTACAAACATCTGGAGACCAACACCTGTATCAAACTTTATCATGACCCGATCATTCAAAGTAACACAAAAATCTCTGAATGATTCTAGTGGGCTTGGCATCAGACTGATTAAAATATGTTCATTCACTACATTTATTTGAAAAACTAGGGGCTCTTATTTTGAAGTTAAGATCTCTGAAGCATGGATCCGTCCTTCAGACTATCATGTTAAAAGGAAGTATGTGTGTAAGGGTGAGATGGGGAAAGACTAGGAGGGTTATAGTGGGTAGGTATGAGACTAATGGACAGTGACGAAGAATGGAGGTGGCGGCTTATATGCATGTGGAGGGCTTAAAATTTGCTATCTAAAAAATTGTGAATTAGCAATTAGTCTAGATAAGACACTTCTCCTTTCCTTGTAGTTTTAGAACTCAATTTCTAATCTTTTTCCAAACTTCACAAAAAATTCTGCCTGAGGATCAGAAGTGGCATGTGAAGCTTCAGGGAAACTGGATTCAGAATTGGAAGCTAGCTTCAAACTATGGAGTGGCTCCTTTGACTCTGTAATGATACTGGAAAAAGAGGAAAATGTATCACTCTAGAACTAGACTACAAAGTTCTATGCATCCACCTGACAAACATATTCCCACTGCTCAACACATGAAGTGCTGGACTGGTAAGGGAGTCTGGATTTAGATTATATTGCATAGCCTCTCTAACTAGCCATGTAGAAAACGAGGGTTCAGCTGCAACTTTAGGAGTGCTTAAGTAAAACAATATCTGTTTTTGGAATTCAATCACATAGTTATGCTTTTAACAGTATGGCTGGGTAAAAGGACACTATTCGTCTCCAGTGAACAAGAAGTTAACTCTAGATGAGCTTTCTCTAGCTATAAAAGTGCTGAAGGAAAGGTCTACAAGACTGGTTGATAAGGAAACATAAGGAGAATGCCTTTGTGAGTCAGGCTCCATACCACATAATCATAAAACTGGGCTGAAACAAACGACGGAGACTATGGTAACTTTTTTTTAAAATAAATATTATGCCTTCAGAAAAATCCTGTTGACTGAAAGTGTTTTTCCTACTATGTCATTCCACCAGATTACAAACTACTATTAAAGAATTCAAATACTTACGCTCCTGAGTTGACATTTATGTCAAAGGTGCTTTTAATATCTAATTCTTCTAAGTTGGCAACTGCACTCTGTATGCAGACAGGAAACCCCTCTGTGCCAGTTTGCGGGCAAAACTCTATTTCTGGAATGCTGCAATCCTGAAGAAACCAATAAGACTACAAAGGTTATTTACATTTGGAAAGTGTGCTAGTACTGCTAGAAATACAGGTACTTCATTTTTAAACTAGATTTCATTTTTTTCTTAATGTAATACCTGTGAGTTCTGCAGAAATTTAAGATTGGAATTTTCAGAATTCTAAGGGAGAGAGACCTGCAACTTCCACAGACTTTCCATGGGAGTTTAGCACCTAAGGACTTCTTTCAAAATCTCAGCCTAAATACACTCCTAGCCCAGGAGGCTGGGGCCATGTACCCTGCCCATGCTTCAGGGCTGGAGACATGCACAATCTGCCCTCTCCATGCTCCGGGGTGGGGAGGTTGGGGTGTGTGCGTCCACCCACCCTCCTACCAGTGGTGATGGTGGGTGTGCGCAGCATGTTGCCCCGCCTCCCTGTGGAAAGATGGCTTGGTTCCTGTGGGGGGCAGGACCTCAGCCAAAGGGGCAGGGGTGGGGGTCTTGCCTCCCCCAGCTCTACCTTTACCAACAGCCATGGTCCCACCAAAGGTTAATCCTCGTGAACTGCTGCAGTTTTGTTGCCCACCCCGACTTAGTGTATAATAATTTAAATCATTAAAGAAAAAAAAGATTCCAAGTTTAATATATTACATACAACCTAGATTCCAATTCAGGAAAGAATTTAAGCACATTCTTAAGTCTATCATTATTTCAGGAAGAGTATTTCATTTCCAACCACTAGTAACTCATGAATTTTACTGTAACTGAAAGGTGTATTTACCAATCCTGAATAAGGATACTACCTTGGAAAAAGGTCCCAGTGATATTCAGAAATTTATGTAGGACTGCCCATCATTATGTTTTGCAATCTACACTGACTTATACCTTCAACTTGTGTAAATTCAATTTTACGTCACTTTAAATAAAAGGGCAGAATTCCAAAGACAAGTAAAGAAAGTGAAAGCCAAAACAAATACTTCCAATGCCAGGTAGCTACTTAATGCTTTGTTTACACAGTATGTGTTAAGATGTGGGCACTAGCATATTGTCACTGGAGCCTATCACTTCTGGATAAGAGCTTGCCAAGCCTCACAGTTCTTCCCAAGAAGTGTGCAAAGATTGACGTTAACTATGGTAATTTCAACACACATGTAAAATGTAGCACCAGTGTTTTTTTTGTTTTTTTTAAATGACACTACAACTCATCCTAAGGTTTCCTTTTAGTCCTTGGTTGGGCAAAGCAGTTAAGCATATGCTCATGTCCCACTGAAGCAAAAGGGCGATAACTAGGCACTTTAAAAGCTTGGCATGTGATTAACTACTTTGCACAGGTTAGATCATCAAGGTTGAAACTCTCCCCCCTACCCTGGCCCTATAATTCAGATCAGACTGGGGAGAATTCCCCTGACACAGACAGAAGTAAAACTGTTCTCTGAAGACCCTCACAAAGCTATTGGAGGCAACAGGGATGGGAAAAGCAGTACGAAGTCTACAGACATCTTTATGGTCTATAGGGACAGAACTAGGAGATTATCTAAATTAAATCAGGGACAAAGACTCCAGAAAAGTCTAGGATCAGATACACCTCAATTGTACTGCACAGAATCTCACCCCAGGATTGGAAGGCTCTGAACAGGTTCCACTGAGGCAGTAACAAATTATCCAAAAATAAATGCAAGTCTCTCCTGCTGATGTACAAAGTTATTTGGAAGTTATTGGACTGTAAGCAATAAAGTAGTAATTCTGGTAAAGTTACTTCAGAGAAATGTTATTTCTCTTTCCCCAAGAGGCCTATAGTACTGTAACATAATACATTAGCAATGCTCTCGCACAATCACATTTCCTTTGTATAGTACCTAGTAAACAATGTACAGTATTTGTTCTCTGTAACAAAAAATTGCAACACCATGTGTTTATAACAGAAGATCAACACCATAAAAATATCAGAAAACTGCCAGCACAATACTGCCTGATAGCTAAGTGCTAAAGAAATACAGTACAATACACAAGTCTCTGGCTCTAAACATACAGCTGAACAGGTTAAACAAAATTCAATGTGTAGTTTACATGAATATGTGCATGTGATCCACCCACAATGGAGAGAGATTTTCTGTTATAATGTGTACTTTCAAAGATTGCTTATTTGTGATTTTCCTAATGAATCAGACAGTAACCACCTAAAGTACAAGTAAACATCTCTTTCCTCTCATCTCCTTAGATATAGATCATATACTATATACACATTTATGACTTTAGCCTACACAAGACATGAACCCAAATACTGGAATCAAGCAATTCAGTTTTTGTTAGAAAAATTAAAACCGTCTACCGTAAGAGTCTAGAGAAAATTATGCCAATACAATTTTTTGGCAAACATAATACAGTGAGAAAATGAGAAAATACATACATAGTGAGAAAGATAGAAAATAATGTATTTGAACTGTAGACACAGTATCTCATGTGCCAATATTTCAGTTTACTTCTGGAGCATAATTCTAAATTTGGTGCTTGGAATGAGTCTATAATGCTTCTTACTGCTTTTTTGGAAAGGCTTCCAGATTTGCTTTTATTTTAACTTAGCTTTAGTGCTCATCAAAATTTTTCCACTGACAGCACTAAGGACTGGAATAATATAGTTCTTTACAAAGCAGGTGAAGTACAAGCAGGGGCAGGGCTAGCTCCCTAATTTTGCCTTAATGCCCAACCAGCCTGTCTTGGAGGCCCATAAACTTGATCTTTCTCTTAGGGATGTAAGAGTTTAACAGGTTAACAGATTAACCAATAAACTGATTGTAATCAATTCCTATTAATGATTAAACTCTGTAGGGCCAGCAGCCCCGCATTTAACCATGTAACTGATTTTTTTTTGAGGTTACATGGTTACTATTTTTATATCCCTAGTGTGTATTTGCAAAATGTTTCTTATACACCTCAAGCTAAATTTTGCCTTTGTCTGAGGTCAGTGGATAACTTCATCCCCCAAATAAGCAGATGAAATTTGGTTTGGCTTCTATGAGATCTTTACCAGCTTATTACAGTTCAGAATTCCATCCAGGGCATAGTTTGTAATCTAGGCCTAGAGTTTTAGAAATATGTATATGTTCCTGAGGTCAGTTTTGCCATGTCTAACTATTAGGTGCTTAAATCTCATTTTTCCTAAGTGATTTGGACTCTTAGGAGCCTAAATCCCATTGACTGCTATTGGGACTGTGCTGACATCGCTTTTAAAAATTAGATACAGCCTCCCAAATAAATTACAGTACAGTATGTACTACAACACTGAGTACAGGAAAGCCTAAATATCTTTAAAAATGGGTTTCCTAATCTTTTAAAAAAGTAATTATAAAATTATATATTGTTTGCTCACATTCATGAATTTTTAAAAGGTTTTTAACTGACTTTTGGTCATGACCACAAGTTACTGTGTAACACTGTAAAAAGGATATGAAGTATTCAGTGAAATTCACAAAAATACCCACACAGTTAATAAAAAGTAGGGATGTTAGATATCAGGTAATTGAACAATTGTGTAACTGCATGAATTCTTATCTGTTACTGGACTATTCGATAGTCCTTCGGGGCTGGCCCCCACACCTGGGGAAGCTGGTCCATAAGAGGAGCTGGTTTAAAAACCAGCTCCCCATGCACAAAGACTGCTCTGCCTTCCATGGAGCCCTGCCTTCCAAGGAGCTGGGACTCCGCATGGACAGGGGCTACTGTTGGGGCCCAGCCTCTGTCTGCAGCAGGCCTAGGCTCACCATGGACAGAGGCTGCTACATGGCAGCTGGGGAGGAAGCGAGGCAGCACTGAGGAACTGGTGCTGTGGGGGAAAGACGGCTTTTAAGCCAACTCACCCCCAGAATTGGTTCCTGCTTCCCCATGCCTTGCTGCCTCTGATACAGAGGCAGAGGGGGAAGGGGAGAAGGCAAACAGTAGAGACGATTAACTGATAATTCTAGGCTTATCAGTTAATTGTATAGTCGACCACATGTTGACATCCCTATCTGAACCCCTTCAAATTTCAAGTACAGTAAAACTCCAATTGTCCGGCATCCAGTGGTCTGGCACTCCCAATAGTCTGGCACCAACTGGAACCCGGAAGTGCTCCGGCCAGCTGGACAATTGGAGCTACTGTGAGCCCCAAATCCACCGCTGCTGAAACTGATGAGCAGCGGACTTGGGGAAGCGGCGGAGGAGAGCAGACCTGTCACAGCCCCCCACCAGAGTACCTCCCAATACTCCAGCATATCCGATAATCTGGCACCACCTAGGTCGCAAAGGTGCCGGATTATCGGAAGTCTACTGTATCTGGAAGCAAATTCATCACTGCACTTGGCTTCAGTCAGAAACAAAACTGAGAAATCGTTCGTTTTCCAATGTATGGCCATATGGAACCAAATAACGCAGGAATCATTGTTTTACTGAGGTGTCAGGTCAGAATAGTAGATACCTTACATGAACTGCTTAAGTTGGTAAAATTTATCATCATTTAGGGTGGATCTCTCTCAATAACCTCTCTCTAGTTACACAATCCACTTGTTTGGGATTTTGGTTTGGTTCTTACAAATTAAAGACATGATACATCCAATTTGCATCTACAGTGAGCTGAGCCACAAGTTATCATAAGTTCACAGAATCTGTTTTATGTGCATACTTTTACCCAAATCAGACCACAGAGCTACTGATTAGCTGTTTTTCAATATACTAACATTTGCTCTGTAAAAATAAAATATTAAATACAGCACCACATCTTTCTCCCTCTAATAAATAGGTGTTTGTATTCTTCCTGCCAGTGCACTAACCCATCTCCAATTAGTTAACCAACTTACAGATGCTATTTGAGGGCATCTGACAGACAAAACACTATTTTTTTTTTAAATTAAAAGAAAAACCAACCAGCCCACCCCCACAGCCAATATCATCAAACTGATCAGACAGAAAGGTAAATCCTAAAGTTATCAGTAGTCTGATTTGGGTAAAAGTCTGCACATAGAAATTAGCATCCCTTTTATTTGCCTGATAAGTCAAATCTTTCAACATAGCTACAACACTGCAAAAATTTCCTATGCCACATACATATATCAAATCCAAAAGATGTGGCCTTAAAACATCAAGAATTAATCAATTAAAATACACACTGCATAGTAAACTTCCCCTCAAAAAGGAATTCCAGAAGGCACTGATTTAAACATTTACGTACACCCTGAAAAGGTATACACTTCCCTGGTGTAGACCTTGATTGTAGGAAACCTTCAGCTAAGAAATTCCTGCACACAGCACAGTTCTGCATGAACCTAGGTCTGACAGCAAAGCAGCCCTTGCCTATTATAAATGATTAGGCAAAAAGGGATTGCTAAAATAGTTGAGAACTTGTCTATAAAATGCTAATATTAAAACCTTGTGCTGCAATGCACAACACTCCCAGCTGTGGTTCACAAAAATGAACCATACCATGGGAGACTGAAAAAGTTGATCAAAATTATCTAATTTCTAGTGATTGTGGTGATTATTAGTATCCTCGTCATCTAGTAGTTCTAACATCCTAGATATTTTCATCCTCTTTTAATCTTAGCCTATAGCTCCTTATTTTGTTACTGATGTTGAATTTCAGTAATTCTTTTCTTCTTTTCCAATATTCATAATTCATATTCTGTCCTGTAATGTTTCCTCTTAGCATCAGCTTTTTGCGGTAGACAAATTAAGTTCACTGTTCTCATAAGTCATGTCCTCAGGTGACTTCTTTTGAATTTCTCTCTCTCCTTTTCAGTCTCTAAGTGGGACTGCAGCTTGTTCACAGTCAGTGGCTTAACATTATGCCCACGTGATACCGGTGACATAAACATTGTAAATATTCAAATGATTATTAGACCAGTAGAGATGCAGAAATACTAATTTTAATTAGGGATGTTAGATGTTGAATTTAATAATCATGAAACCACACCAAATCTTATCCTTTACGCAATGGTCCCCAGGGACAGGGCCAGCAGCCAATGTGCTCCAGGCCTCACTCCCAGGGAGCCCCCTGCATTACTGCCTCTGTATCAACAGTATATAATGGTGTTTAGACCCATTACTTCTCCATTTTAAAACTGGTTCCCTATGCAGACTGGCTTCCACCTGCTGCCCCACGCTGCTGCCACTGATAGAGGCAGCAGTACAAGACTGCTTCTGCATCCCACCTGCTCCCCACTTCCCTGCGCTGCTGCCTCGGATAGAGAGGCAGCAGCATGGGGAGGCATGTGGCCCCATGGGAACCAATATGTGTGGGAAGCTGGCTTCCCATGTGTACTGGCTCCTGCCTGCCCCCCTTCACCCTCCATGCTGCAGCCTCTCTATCAGAGGCAGCAGCGTGAGGTTGGGGGACGGGGGAGGGAGGGGACGAGAGAGGGAAGATAGGTGGCTCCACAGGATCGTGTGTTCATGGGGAACAGTCTTAAAAGCCAGCTCCCCATGGGCACTGGTTCCCACCTCCCCCCTTTCCTTGCAATACAGAAGAAGGGGTGCATGTAGTCGTTTGGATTAACTAATAAATCTGGGCTTACTGGTTAATCGTTTAAAGCACTATATGCTGATATGCATAGTTTTAATAAGATGCTTTCATAGTTTAATAGACGTCAAAATTCATTCACCACAAAGGGATCTCACCAAGTGAACTTTTAGAATGCTGTGCTTGACAAAACGGAGCAGATTCTTTTCAAATCACAAGGTCTGATAAATATGTTACTCTTTCAATGAACAATAACAAAGATTATATTTAGTTTTATGCTCTTGATTTTTATTTTTAAACAAAGTGCCTTTTTAATTTCTGGATGCAAAATACGATTATATTTTGCAGGTGCTCCTAAACCCTTATGAATTTCACCAGAGTCTTTGGCTAGTATTGTGATGCTGGGTACATGTATTATTACATGGATACTGAAGATGTACCTATATTATATGTAAATAACAGGATTTTAGCCCAAACTATGTACTAAGGAAAACAGATCTCTTTTCCTTTAGCCATATCTGGATATGACAGTGAATTCTAACTAGAGACTTGGGATTGCACCTATTAGAAACTGAATTATCAGGACAGCAAGTTGGTTTACACTTGACAAATCATATGGATGATATGTAATGAAACTGAATATAACCGTGTTTAGACCCATTACTTCCCCATTTTACTGACTAAGGATATTGTAACAGGGTCCGTTCCTAAAATGGCAAGTAAGAATATAATGTTCTTCGGGAAGCCATCCTAAACTCAGGTTTGCGAAAAGATTCAGAGTAACAGTTGCTGACTCACACTGGCAGGCGGAATTTAAGCAAGATATAAGATCTTTCTTTGTATCAGAGGGAACTAGAGCTGGAATAAAGCAGATTCCACAGGAAGATCTGGGAACAGCCAGCCTTGGGCTGATTAGGCAGAGATTCATGTTTTGGTTTGTTATAACTGATGTAACGTCTTTTTCTAGTCCCATATTTTATTTCCACAAGTAAAACCTTGTTAATACCTACTCAAAAGGGACCCATTTTCCTGATCATCATAGTCAGTCATGGTTCTTAACTATTTCATCTAATCATCTTAAATGTATTACATCCATCACTATATTATCTGCAAAAATATAACAATAACCATGAAAAACTATATGAAAAAAATAGTAAGACATTTTTAGAGGCTATGATAATTAGTGACTACTCGTGCCCAAAGAAGAACCAGAGAAACTGTTGAGGACAGTCCAATGTTTGTTTTAATAGAAAATGTTTTTAGATAAAGATTCATAATTAATTCCTATTACTTAAAAGGGGCACCAAGTAGTCAGGCTGAGGGGGCAGGACAAGAGCATACAAACTATCTGCTAATTACATTCAGAGGAAGATGAGTGGACTCAGGCACTTAAAGAGAAAGTGAAGAGTACAGGCTTGGGGGTTTAGGAAGAAGAAAGATGAAGTACTTGATGGTGAGATAAGGTACAAAAGGCTTCAAAAGTTTCAGAGGAACAGTCAAAACACTGAGACTTGTATCAATGGCTTGAAGGATCTGAAGACAATGAGACAGGAAACATACAGCAGATACACAGCATGTATTCCTACAAGAACGCTACTACTACTGATATTAACATCTGCTTTTTGTGCATTTATCAATGAAATCTATACCTTTGTTACATGTTTGATAGAACCAACTACAAGGTTTCTTGGATGGCATTTCATGTCCTGAAGATCCCAAAGATGATCCAAGACCACTTCTCCTTCTTCTAGCACATATTTCTCACCTTGGAATTTTGGTTTTTCATATAAAATCCAGCTATAATAAAATCATCATTAAAAGAATTGTAACTATTATGCAGATTATGACCATGGCTATACAACACTCGTGCCAGGAAAGTTCAGTACAGAGCTCTTTTCACTAAGCCAGTTATCACACAGTCCCTTCATGCATGGTCCCCTCTCTATTCATATGCCTCTTGTTAAATGCTGAAGTGGTTCCCCTACCCACCCGTTTAATCAGTTAGACAAAGTTTATCTGGTTAACTAATTAAATGTGATTTTACATTCCTAAGCCCAAACATATATATTTAAATGCACCCACTGGAGAGACCAAGGTTATGACTAACCAGCATATTAAAAGCCTTATTTGCGGAAACCTTACCAGTAAATGAAAAAGCTAAGCAAGTTAACCATCCTGATTTCCTAGTTCCAGACAAATTAACTAAACTGAGTCTTGGATTCCATATAATGGTAACATATGTAACTACCATTATTGAATTCAGTGGTTTAAAAAAAATTACAAGAAATAACTGGGCCAGTCTCAAATTATATTAATATTACCCTGAAACTTTATTATGGTATGGGAGAGATGAATGATACGATGGACTTAGTACAAGTAGTATGTGTTCAAGTTCTATGCCCTATAAAATAACTGTTGGCACACATGTATGACAGATGCATTCCTAGGCTATGCTTTCCAAAGCATCTATTACATCACTGCACATTACAGCTTTGCAAATGGATTTAGGAAGATTCTTACAGTCTATCCTACATATCCCAATACTTCTTTGCTCCTTTCTGTTTCAAATAGCAGCTGAGCTCTTATGTTGTACAGCTCATTTTGCAACATCACTTGGTTAACAAAATCAAACCATGAAAAATTAGCTTTGGTTACAAAACAACCTTCCTTTTTCAAGCTAGTTCCCAGTAGTGGGAATACTTGCCATATTGCTTTTCTTGTAAATGTCACTGTGATTACAAATCAAGAAAAGATGCTCCTGCATATCAGGTTTGTGTTATAAATAACTCAGGCAGAGATACAAGACAAATAAACACATTTATCTTCTGAAAAGAGGCTATTTAAATGAAATATGGATTTCTTACCATCCTCTAATAATGTTAAGCAATGCTCCCATTGGAAAGATCCAGGATGTGGCATCTGGTAGATCATGGTATATTTCTTGTTTAGTCTTCTCGCCATGAATGTCATGAATAATCATCTAAAATAATACACATTATATGTGAGCAAGGGACACTGCAACATATGGATTAGGGTCCTCGTTTTTGCTTTTTATTGAACAGACTCGGATATTTTTATATGTACTACTAGCATTTTGCACATATATTCTTTAACCTTACACTGCTGACATAAATAAGTCAGACAAATGTAATGGGTTTCCCCTAGGCTACAGCATGAGTAGTATTCAAATTTGATATAACATGTTCTTCTTCAAAATGTTAAGGATGATTAGTTCATATAAACCTACCCAGTGACACGATCTTACTTACTTTTCCTGGTCTTGGATTACATTTGAGGGTTTTCCTGTCAATAAGATTCTGAAATTAAAATGATGTGGAAAATAACTATTAAAACTACAATAGTAGTATATTGCACACACAAAATTGTTTAAATACCAGTATTTCTCCAAAACATATTACTTTAGTGACAACAGCTGATCCTAGCCTCATTGTTATGCAAATTAAACCTAGGCACTTTAATGCAGTGGGTCAAATAAAGAATCCTGAAAAAACCACAAATGTCAGATGAGAAGAGCTTTACTGGAAATTAGAACCATGTAGAACTATTTCATCCCACGCACCCTCTTCCTCAAACTAGGAAAGAAAGATATTGTACCATACTACAGCTCACTATTTCAGTCTATGACACTGTTGCTTGTATGCGTTCTCTTCCATTTCCCCACAGAGTCACCAAATACTACTGCTTCTCCTCTTGCCTGACATTGCTTTAAATAAACCAAAACAGGAGTGCTAATCTGTAGAAAGATGCCTAGTCTATACTTTTGGAAGCGTGTATGGTACATGTAGGTACAAACCACAGTGAAAGACAGGTTGTGGGCACGCTGTGGTGTGTAGATGCATTCAGCAGAACTAGGAGAGGGTAGATGCTGATGCCTTTTCCAGTTGCCCCTCCATTTCCTTGCTTTAGGAGACTTTTGTTGTGGCGGGGAAAGGCTCCATCAGGGAGGAGGCCACTGGACACTCCACCTTTAAAAAGAGCGGAGTGGACATAGGAGGCACAGCTTGGTCATGTAGAGAGCCATGGAGAGCATACACCCTAGCATGTTAGTGTGTCCATACAGTTCTCACAGAAGCAGTGCCTCCCATCTTCACCGCTATTTAATCCCTGTGCATGTAATCCCTGTGTCCCACAGGCTCCTGTAAATGTAGACATAGCATGAGCTGTAGCCCACAGAAGAATTGAAGGATACATCAAACACTAAGCTGTATCTCAGGGAACAAAGGGTCAATAATATCAGAACTAGAGTAAATTGTAAAGAGATGCTTTCCATATCAGGATAATTTTGTTCCCCTCCTCAAACTCTTTGTATGCTTTGTCCCAGTCATCTTCACATTTAAAATCCATTCAAAGGACAAGATGTTATTATTGAGCATATTTTCTACTTACTTGCTGTTTTATTGTGAGAAGCTGCAGGATCTCCTCTACTATTTATGAGCTGGTCCCAGTAACTGGGTGCATTTTATTTATAAAATGTTTCAATGAGAAAATGTAATTGTCTGCAATCATAGGCTACCTCATACCCTACAACTGAATGCATTTAGATAAGATTTAAAAAAAAAAAATGGTACTTGCAAGTGGGTTCATCATCATTTTAGTTATTACTTACACAACAATAAATGACAACTTACCACTGGGAAACCTGATTCTGGCAAATTGTCGTCTTGAGGCTTATGACCCCTTGGCAATAATCCTTCTTGAAGGACACTTCCAAACTGGACTCCTTTCTCGCATGAATAATTGCTGGCTGTCTGAAAATACTGGTAATACACACTCCTAGGGACAGCTTTCTGTTGAAACTGAGTACATTGTGTTGGATTAGAAAACTGACCTTCTTCTAGAAATGGCTCCGACTGCTGTTTAGAACCAAGTAGTTCTTTTGAAAATATGAGTGACTGGTTGGAAAATGAAGCCCTTTCTTGGTCATTCTCTAGAAGCATCATGTTTGAGCCGCCTGCCCACTGGCTGGCAATCCACTCTTCTTTCTGAACTTCCACCATGTTTTCTTCATAAGAGTCGTCTTCATCCTTCTCCTCCTCCTCCTCCTCCTCCTCCTCACTTAACTGGTTACTAAATTTCAAACGCTCAGAAACTGACTGAAGAAGTGACAAGACTGATGAAGAATGGTTGGCACTGTCTTTGGATTTTCCAGTAGAATGGCTTCCTGGTGAGACATCAGTAGACAGCTGGTCTTCTTGTGGACTGTCATCTTCATATATAGGAGACAAAGAGAATGGGTAAATTTTATACCGCTTAGCCTCCACGATCATAAATGACTCTGAGCTGCAGTTATCTAATGTTTCATTTAATTTGCTATCCTCTTCATAAGCATCAACAGACTTATATTTACTCTTTACTGTTTCACACATCAAAAGATGTTCAATATTATCCAGAGACAGGTCAGGAGGAGAGATTGAGTGATCTTGCTTTTTATCATTTGAAATGGACTGGTTCTCATCTTGTTCGTCTTGTGGAGAAAAGGATAAAAGATTTGTTGGTTCCTCTGAATCATTATTATTGTTAAGATTCTTTTCTCCAAGTGCATTATCTCTTTGTAAACTTTGACCCATCATCAGTGTTGATTTGAGTGTCTCAACTTTATTGGCAAAATCTGAGTGGAAACACCTTTTCCTTTCAGTGTCCTGAACAGTTACAGATGATTCAGATGAAGCAAACTGTATGTTTAATCTGTTTTTATCCTGCGGTATCTCACTTGCTTCTGTTTTTCCACTGCTTTCTTCACTGTTGGCCTGTGAATCTTTTGGGCTTGTTTTTTCCTGTACAAAGAAAGAATTCTCTTCCATCTTGACACAATCTTCTGGCAGATCTTTACCACAACTTTTATCTAAACCTGAAGGACTACTTTCATCTTTGGTTTTGCTGAATACACAGGTATATTTTTCATCATATACAAAAGGGGATGAATTAAAAGTCAAGTTTGGCACGGATACATGTTCTGGCACATGTGTATTACTGCATAAATCTTTTAACTGTAATGATGGCATCCTCTCTTCAATCATAACAGAATCTCCATTTAATACATGTAAAGTCTCCTCAGATTTATTGCCAGCTGTCCAAATGTTAGTTTTATCACTAATTTCTGTCGTAACTATGCTATCATAAACAGTTTTAGAGCATTCATCTTTTACTATTATTGCAAGGTCAGATTCCAGATTTGTTAAAACATCAGAATGCAGAAGTCCATTTCTTTGATGTGAAAATATATGATTTGGTACTGTTTCTCCTCCTATGGTCAAATCTGTGCTACAATCTACACAGTTTAGAAGTAAAGGACCTGTACAGCTAACTTTTTCACAGTCTTTAACATCCTGGATCAATTCCTTGTCTATTTGGTTTAAATCCATGGGTTCTTTGATTATTTCTTGAGTTTTGGCAGCTAATTTAACATCCGTGTTTAGAGTCTTTGAGAATCCAATCTTACGTTTAAGCACAACGTTTTTAGAAGGGCTCCCACTGTTTTCAAGCTGATTAAACATCAGTTTTTGTTTGGCTGAGTTAATAACTTCATCAATTATTTCTTTTGCTTTTAGTGCTACTGAACAATGTAGGTCAGTTTTATGAGTGATGTTAAATGGTATCTTTGCATCCTGAATATTTGTAGAAACCATTTCCTTTCCTTTAACTTCAGAGGAGCTTCCTGCATAGCTCTCATCAAAATGTTTTAGTGAATGCTTAGCCAACTGTACTTCTTTTGCTTCTAATTGTATCTTTCCAGTTTTCCGTTCTTTAAGGCTATCCAGCTTTATTAAACTGCCCTTGTTGCCATAAGGCTGATAGACACCAGCTGCTTGTTTTGATCTTATTTCTTCTATGGCCAAGTGTAAAACTGCATCAACGATTTCTTTAGCTTTTTTAAACAGAACAGTGTCTTGGGATTCAATGTGCACTTGCTTTCTTGTTTCCATATCTTCCCATGTTTTCTGAGAACTGAAGTTGCTTGATTCTGTAAAAAAAGAGGTGTGATCATTCATTTTAGCTGGGTTGTGTGTGATTGAGGGAATATGCTTACAAAGGTTTACTTGCTCTGCAGGAGTTTTGTACACATCCTTACTATAATCTAAACTTGAACTTGCTTCCACAAGCTCCAAAGGACAGGTAGTTGATGTTATGGATCTGGTTATCCAGGCGTCTTTAAACTTTTCAGTAGGAGGTACATTTGAAAGTACATAATCAATTTCATCGCTAATTCCGAGTCTGGAGGAAATTTTGCCTTTAACATCTTCATGCTTAATAGGAAAATTAATTCTGTCCAAGACATCTATTCTTTCAAGGACAGTTGGACAAGGCTTGGAAATTTCTTTAGACCTCTGAGTAGGAGGCAGCACAAGCTTGGGAACACAAACCTCTGAGATAGGAACAGCATGGTCACTTTCAGCTAAAATGACATCAGAGTTACACTGAGCGTAGATGTTTTCAGAGCAAAGTGAAATCTGGGTCACACTGACCTCTGCATTTTTACCATCAGAAATAACTGTAGGTGCACTGACAGCTCCATTTTCCATGAAAGACAACACTGTCTCTGATGCATCACCTCCAAGAAAAGCACACTTAGATTCACTGACTGCAGATGTATCTGATAATTTTGCAATTCGGATATTTTCAGATTTAGAAGCAGGGGAAGGTACTTTGCACAGGCTGACATCTACAGAATTAAGTAGATCAGGTGTCATCTTAGACTTATTACTGTTTTCCTGTTTAGCAGAAATGTTCACCTGATTACGATCTTCAGAATTAGGTCTAATGACTGAAATAACTTCTAAACAAGCTCCTTTTTCAAGGGCAGAAGAAGAATGGTTAGTCAAAGCATTTTTTTCAGCCCCCAAGGCAGAATGAGGAGTGTTAAAAAAGGTATTTACTTCCGATTTAAGAGAAGTGGGAGACAGCTCAGAGAAGCAGATTTCTTTAAATGGAGAGGAAAGAGGAGAAATATTTGTTATATCGGCACTCACAGTTTTAGGAACAGCAGGAACAATATAATCTACCCTATTATCTCTGGTTTCATGAGTTTGAGAAATATTTTTTGCCCTGTTACCCTCTGTGGAGAAAACCAACGTTCTGGCTCCAAAGACTTCACCAGTTTCAAGGGAAGGAGGAGTAAGGTTGTGCATCGTGGCAGGAACTACATGGCTGGGGAGGCTCATCCCTTCAGATTCAATAGGCTTGCAATTTTCATATGCACAGGCAGTGGGAGAAATTTTGGCTTTTTTAACATCTCGTAAGTGGGCTGGTTTTTTGGTGATGGTTTCATCTTCAGATCTGTGGATAGGAAGATGAATATTAGCCAAGCTGTCATCTCCAGATCCAAGGCTGGCATCTTTAGATTCTAAGATAGGAGACGGCACATAGGACTTCACACTTCCACATTCAAGGGCTGATTGAGATGTGCCTCCAACATTCACTTCTGCAGATTCAGGTGAAACCTTAGATGTCTCGACAGCCTCAAATTCAAGGGAAGGTACAGAAGTGTTCTCCGTGTTGGCATTCTTTGATTCACTCCCAAGAATTACTAAGGGATCATTTTGGATATATGTTGGCTTCCCTGATTTACTGAACTCTTTAATACCTGGACTATTTACTATATCCATGCCAGCATCTTGAATAGTTTTGGCAGATGGCACTGAAGTAGACAGCCTGTCCATTACCATCAATTTACTGACTGCAGGAAATTGTCTGTCCTTCACAGCCTCTGGTAACTTTTCAGTAGATCTTTCTTGATTTAAAGGAAAATGAACATTAGCTACAAAGGTGTGTGTTTCTTGCTTCCTTTCTTCAGCCATTACATTTTTTTGTGAATCATCCATTCTTAGACCACTACCTTTATTTGCATTTTCTGTATTCCTGTCTACCTGAAGTTGAAGTGCAGTGTGGCTAGAATGAGCCCGCTGGATATCCAATTTCAGCTCCAACTGACTATTACCAGCATATTCACCCTCTAACAATGATAGCTCCTTTTCAACTTCCCTTCTCTTTGCTTTGGATGAACACTCACAATCATTTTGCATTGTCTTTTTAGAGTCTTCATTAGATATTTGAACACAAGAATTTATTTCTTTATCAAAGCTAGAAATGGCATTATTGTCTGATGGAAACTGAGCTTCTGTTTCTTCTGATGTTCTCGCCGCCTTTTCAGCCAATCTGTTATTTCCGGACTCCAGTGTCTGGTAACTGGAACTAGCAGAGATCTCACTGTTGTCTCTGGCTGATAATACTGAGTGTAGCAAATGAACTCTATTAACTTCTAATGCATCAGAAAGTGGTGCATGATTTAAGGAAATTAACAAATCTAGTTCTCCAATGTGATTTCTGTTGGAGTTGGTTTCAGTGGTTTTGGCAAAGGTGTATGCACTTGTTCCATGTTCACTGCTATCTAAGATATCCTTAGCAACATCAGGTTTTTCCAGTTCCATTTTAACTGCGGAGAGGTTTGCTTTAACATTTCCCTTGCCATCTTTAGCGTCATCCTTTTGATTCTCTTTTGACAGGTGTCTTGTAATTTCTATCCTTACATTAGAGGCTGAGTTTGGAAGGGTAGCAGTTTGGGCTTCTTCATTTCCAGTCACAGTGAAAATACATTCGCTTTCAGTATTTTCTTCACTTTTTAGCACCTCCTCTGCTTGTTTCTTAAGTAGCTGCTTAATCCGTACAGAACCCCGATACGTTGCATAAGTAATTGCTGGTGCTTCTGGCTCGCGTTCACTTTGCCTGAAACAATAAGCATTATTTTAGTGCAGTAGAATATTGAAACAGCCTTAATTATGACTGATAGAGATGCAAGTGACTAGTCAACTATTTGCTTCCCCCTCCCTTGCTGCCTTTGTATCAGAGGTAGCAAGGGGGAAGGAGGCAGGAGCCAGTGCTGGGGGGGAGCAGATTTAAAAGCCGGTTCCCTCCATCACCATCTCTGCGGCGTGGGAGCACAGGAGGCAGAGGTGCAGTAGTCCGGGACCAGGCGCAAGCCGGGACTACTGAGTCCTGGCTCGCACCAGATCCACGCCTGCTGTAGCTCTGCCTTTTAATTGTAGTAAGAGCAGGGGTGGCTCTTACTACATTTAAAAAGCAGAGGTGCTGTGGTCTGGGACTGGGCGTGAGCCAGAACTGCTAAGTCCCAGCTCATACCGGGTCCCGGACCTACCCTCGCTGTGGCTCTGCAGTTTAAATGTAATAGGAGCTGGGCTGCCTGTGAGCCCAACTCCTACTACATCTAAATTGCAGAGCTGCAGTGAGGCCCATTATCGACTACTCATGTACTCAATACAAACTGTATCGAGTACGTGATTAGTCAATTACCCGCTTCTTAACATCATTAATGACTGATCTACAATTAGCTTGCTGATTAATACAATATTACTTTTTTCTAAATTGCAGAATATACCAACTTCCAATGCTGCTATAAATACATCAAGAGTTTTCTTTGCACTAGGTCAGGGGTGGCCAACCAGTTAGAGATGATGAGCCAAAATAGCTGTGGGCAGAGTGCAGAGAGAGACATATTATATATTTATTTTTATATAACTATCTATAAATAGATTAGTACACAAAATGTGGTGATAAAAACAACATTACAGGACATTTTGGACAAAAACAATAAAAAAAGTCTCTAGTAACTTTGAAAAAATCATGGCCAGTCCATATATCTGCAGAGAACTTGAAAAGGAACAAACATCAAACAAAAAAAATAAAAAAAAACCAAATTTTAAAAAGATAGTAATATTCTCACAAAATTTAAAATAGATGGTGGGGATGCTTATTTTTTTAAACACTACTGTCCTATTATGTCCTGGGAGCTTTTAAAAATTAAACTGAGAAGTAAATTAGTACAATTTGAAATGCCTGTTTCACTCTAGCTTGTTGATCTCTGGTATAATTTACTTTTTTTTTTTAATCTTATGAAGATTATGGCTTTTATAGTTCTAAAAATTCAGGTCCGTCCCAGACTGCAAATATGAGAGGTTCAAAAACAATAAGGGAGAGACTAATTTATCAGAATAATTGCTTCAGCCTGGCAAACAATAGCCTTTGAATTTTCTATAAAGAAACACAGTGTAACCAGATATATGTTGATTCTTTTTTTGTCCTGGAATTTAAACATGACATCTGTGTTGGCTACCTTAATCTGCATCCACGAAGCCTTTGAGTTCAAGGTGCTTCAGCACCCACCCACCTCCACTCTAACCCAATGCCCTCCCCCTCCCCACAGCCAGGTGCCCCCAACCCCCCACTCCTCCACTCTAACCCAGTCCCCTTCCTCTCTCCCAGAGCCAGGCATTCCCAGACCCCTGCTCTAACCCAATCCTCCTCCTGTTGCTCTAACCTAATGCCTGGGTCCCAGAGCCGCCGCTTCGCGCTTCTCCCTCTAGGTGCTGGGGTGCGTGCGCAGAGCAGTTAATTTTTGAAATTTTACATGTGCTGTTATCTGTGAGCATGTTATATAATTATCAGCCTATAAAATGAGAGTTATTTCACATAGTATCTAGGGTTGTTTTGCAACACACAAGTTGTATTCTAATAGAAATTACCAACAATGGAATTGCTACATTAAATCAAGCTATTAATACATTCAAATACACAAACAAAAAGTCATATACTCAGTCCAAACTATACATAAATCTCTGGATATTAAAAAAAAAAAACCCTCCAAACATCATCTAAATAACCAAGGTGACAGAGTATTATACTAACACTTCAGACTTTCATAACTGAAACTATTAGTCCTTGCGAAATGTATTTAATCTGCATTAAATTTTGCTGAAATACAATGATTAGATAAAAGCCAATCTCTGTAATAAGACTGCTCACCGAAATACAAAAATAAGTTATGCAGTTTTGAAAGTACTATTGTTGAACATTTTATTATTAATTATATACACTAATTGTTACTGAACATTTCAAAAATTTACTAGAAGGTAGGTGTTAAGTCAAGCAGATAACCATATACCTTAAGGCCATTAGTTCTATTTAAAAATATTATTCAATTTCACTATATCACACACCCCTCACAAAACAAAATGCATAACTCCTGAATGTGAAAAAATAGTGTGCAAACTCATCCAGAAAAGACGACAAACTCATCCAGAAAAGACGACAAAGAACAAAATGAATGGTAGACTATGAGCCTAAACTTCAAAAACACTCCAGAGCACAATATTTACCACCATGAGAAGTGTTGTTGAGATTTCAATTGGGCTACTTAAAATAGTAGGAACCACACCCAGAAATGTTTTGAAAGATCAGGCCCTTAGGCTAAGTCTACAGTATAAATTTACATCAGAATAACTACTTTGCTAAGAGGTGTGAAAAATCCACACTGCAGAGTAATGCAGTTATACATCCTCCCCCCCATCCACAGTGTTGTGTCAATGGGAGAAGCTTTCCTTATAACCATAACTACTGACTACAAGATGGATTGACTATGCTGATCAGAAAAGCTCTCCCATTAGCATAGTACAGTGATCCCCAACCTTTTGGGGCTGCCAGGCACCCGGGGGCGGGACCACTCACGAGCCAGCCACCCCCCCAACCTTTTGGGGCTGCCAGGCACCCGGGGGCAGGACCACTCTCGCGCCAGGCACCCGGTGCCACTCATGCGCCACGCTCCCGGGGCCGGCGCCACCCATGCGCTGCACGCTCAAGAGTGAAGCTGCCCATATGCCATGCTCCCGGGGCTGGCACCACTCCTGTGCTGTGCGCCCAGGGGCGGGGCCACCCATACGCTGCGCATCCGAGGCCGGAACAGCCCATGAGCTGCATGCCCGTGGCCGGTGCCGCTCCTGGGCCGCGCGCGCAGGAGCCAGCAGCGCCCATGTGCCGCGCGTCCAGGGGCCAGCGCTGCTCCTGTGCCGTGTGCCCAGGGGTGAGGATGCCCATACGCTGTGCTCCAGAGGCTGGCACAGCCCACGCATGCCCGTGGCCGGTGCCGCTCCTGGGCCGCGCGCGCAGGAGCCAGCAGCGCCCATGTGCCGCGCGTCCAGGGGCCAGCGCTGCTCCTGTGCCGTGTGCCCAGGGGTGGGGATGCCCATACGCTGTGCTCCTGAGGCTGGCACAGCCCATGCACCGAATGCCCGGGGGCAGGGCTGCTCATGTGCTGCGCACCTGGGGCTGGGGTCGTTCCTGTGCTGCGCACCCGGGGTCAGGGCCGGCCCCAATCACTTGGCGGGCGCACAGAAATGGCCTGGCGGGCGCCATGGTGCCCATGGGCACCGCAGTGGGGACCACTGGCATATTAGCTCCTTCATTGAAGGACTAGAGTGGTGCAGCTGCACTGTTGCAGTGCTGTAAGTGCCAATCTGCCTTATGTGTATGAAATTTAAGACCTAACCATAGTGTACCTGTAAAATTTGATATACATTGGGAAGACAGTGGAATAATGCTGTGTGCTTGGAGAGGAGGGTTTTAATATAGTAATATTGTATATGTTTACTATTCAAGGTCCTATTTTATGAGCTCTCCCATTTCCTTTTAAAGTAACTGAAAAGACAAGATTGTGACAAAGCACAGAGGACAGAAGCAAAGCTACTTTTTCAGATTTTTTTTTTTTGGTTCTTATTAGGCATGTGAAAGTATAAACGGTTAACTGATGAGCCTAGACTCATCAGTTGACCTTTACAGTTACACTCGGGGAGCTGGCACACACCAGAAAATTAACCTTCCAATTCTTGTCTGCAGACATATTGCTCCAGCAAATTAACAACCAGTGCTCAGGGTTTGCATAAACTGCTGCAGAGTGAAAAGTAACCAGTGTTACTTTGCTTTGCTGAAATAATCTTGTGTGCATCAGGAATACTGACAAAAGTCAAATGAAATTCACTCTGCTGCTTGCAAAGCTGGGAAGTTGACATCAGTGCAGGAAGAGCAAGAAAACCAGAAGCTAACCCTATTAAGACACTTATCTTGCAACACCCAGAAAGCCAGAGAAAGAGGATGGCTTTTCACATGCTGCTCCTGGATAAGGGCCTCCTTCCCTTTATCTTGTTTTTGGTATTTTCTATGACCTGCACATTTACTCCCCTGGATATTAGATGTCTGGTTACATTTCCAAGATTCATATGTGAGAGGCTAAAGGGTGAGTGGATGGGAGAGACTGAGGAGAATAGGTACAGAGATTTTTTGAGGAAGAAATAGGGGTGAGGGCACAAGAGAGGAGGTTGAGAATACATTGTCAAGGAAGTGAAAGAGGTAATAAAAGCGTGAGGAATGGGGGAGAAATAGAAGGAAAAAAAAGAAACATTGAAGAAAATGCAAGAAATTATACACATGGCTTACTATAGCAAAGCAAAATGGAGTTGGGAAGGGAGCAGACCTACTATTCCCATTGTCATTTTAGACCAGGGCTACTCAACTTTGGAAGCTCTGGAGGCCACAATGATATTCAGAGCACATGCCACGGGTCACAATTTAAGTGTGGTTGCATATTCATGCAAATATATATGCAAATAGCTTATTTCCAGGGCTCGACAAATCAGTGTATCTTCTCACCCGTGACGAGCAGATTTCAGCCAGTTGCCCCGTTCACCGGTGGCGCACACATGCACACTGTGGGTCTGGCGCATGCGCGGTGGGTGAGTGGATTTCGCCACGGTTTGTAATGTCCTGCTTATTTCACACAATGCCCTGGTGCTTCCAGCACATCCTCCTTGGGGGCTAGAAACAAAGACATCTTGTACCCATCTGTTTCAGCCAGCCTGTCCGCTTGCATCTTTCAATGA